TGATCTTTCAGTGGACACATGCCTATCGGCCACGGGTTCTCCTTCCTCGGACACCCAGCGGGATGAGGACTCTGCACTTCATGCCACTTTCGCCGAGGACTCGGATGGTGACTCGCCCCTTATTAAGGATGGCCAACCGCCCCTCATTGATTCACTGTCTCTCTCCCCGAGAGGTACCACTGATCTTCACTCTTGTGATCTCCCTGCTGATGCAACTACAGGGACAGAGCTCCTCCCTGAATCTGGTCCGAACCCACCCCTCCTGCGGACTTCGTCGGAACCGCTCCCTGTTGTCGCTCTGTCGACGGAGTCGCATCCGAGCAGAGGGGTGTGCGTTTTGAACCAGGCTGCTGATCCTCCGTCTCTCAGCGGATCCTTGGAGACAGTGTCGGATGACCGGCCACAGGCTCTGCCGCCAACCTTCTCTAGGCCGATCACCCGCAGCATCTCTCGTCAGCAAGTAAGTTCCTCTCGTCGCCCTTCTGCTAGTACTCGATGACAGACACCTACATTCTGGTCTGGAATGTTCGAGGAATTGGTAACCCCAGGGCTCAACGGGAGGTACATTGGCTTTGTAAGCAACACCGTATCCGCCTTCTCATCATCCTTGAACCCATGGTTCTGGCGGACACTGCTTTCTTCTGCCGGCGGTTTGGTTTCTCTCAGATGCTAACCAACACGGCTAATTCTATCTGGATTCTTGCTGATGATTCTTATACACTGGCGCCTATATCGGAGATCGATCAGTGTCTTCATGTGCAGGTATCATCTCCACAGATTCGCCGGCCTTTTCTTTTATCTGGCATATATGCGAGGTGTTCTATCACCCAGCGCCGCGAGCTTTGGTCTTTCTTACATGACACCGCGATTTCGTCACTGGGATCCCCCTGGCTGATTGGCGGTGATTTTAATGCCATCGCCGATATATCTGAACGGAAGGGCCCGGGTCGGCCTAAATTGCGCTCTATTCAGGATTTCTCGACCGCAATCCTCGATGCGAACCTCATTGATGCTGGTTTCGAGGGCCCCCCGCACACATGGACCAATCGGCGGGTTTGGGAGCGCCTTGATCGCATTCTTTACAGCTCTGCCTGGGAGGATTTTGCGGAGACAACTCGAGTCAGGCACTTACCGCGGATGCATTCGGACCACGCCCCGCTCTTGGTCCGTTTCTCGCATGAACGGCACCGCCTAGCCTCTGCATTCCGGTTTCAGAACATGTGGACTAGACACCACTCTTTTCAGGACCACGTCCGCCAGAGTTGGGCTGTCCCGACGGGCACCACCGGTCTCCTCAACCTGCGATTGAAACTCGGACGCCTCAAGCAGGCTCTGAAGTGGTGGAACAAACAGGTATTTGGTAATGTGTTTCAGGTACTTGCAGCAGCAGAGAAAGATGCTGAGGAGTGCGAAGCGGATTTCGATCGGGATCCCTCTGACGCCAACCTCCTCCGTCGTCAACGGAGCGCAGCAGCCTTGACACATGCGATTTCTCTTGAGGAGGCCTTCTGGAAACAAAAAGCAGCATGTCGTTGGGCAGTTGAGGGAGAGCGAAACTCCAGAATGTTCCACTCCATGGTGAAGGAACGGCGTCGGCGGGCTACGCTTTTCTCGATGAGGGACGGTGCTCGTACCCTCACTGATCACTCAGCCATTAAGCAGTCAGCTATTACCTACTTCTCCGAGATGTTTGGTCAGCCTGACGATGCAGACACCTCGGGGATGGATGCACTGGCGGACCCTCCGCCTCAGGTTCCTTTGGCTGAATGTGCTCGGTTGCTGGAACCACCAACACTTGCGGAGGTTCGTGCTGTGGTTTTCTCGATTGACAAGGACAGTGTGGCTGGCCCTGATGGCTTTTCCGCCGCTTTCTATCAAACGTGTTGGGATATTATTCACGAGGATGTTTTCGATGCTGTTCTGGATTTCTTCTCGGGAGCTCCTCTTCTGAAGTTCTATACGGCAACGACACTTGTGCTTATCCCCAAGACGGACGGGCCAGTCGCTTGGGCTGATTTTCGGCCTATCAGCCTCTGTAATGTGAGTTCTAAGATCTTCACGAAGTTACTCACTGTGCGACTTGGTCCGCTACTGCCGCAGCTTCTGTCGCCACACCAGAGTGGTTTTGTCAAAGGTCGGGCAATTGCAGACAATATTTTGCTGGCATCGGAAATGGTACATGATCTCAATTTGAGGGGGGACTCGCACAATTTGCTGCTGAAACTGGATTTGAATAAGGCATACGATCGGGTATCGTGGCGGTTCTTGCGACATGCCCTTACCAGGTTCGGTTTCCCGCCTCATTTTATCACCTTGATTATGAATTGTGTCGAGCATGCTTGGTACTCGATTCTTGTGAATGGGGACTTGGGCGGTTTCTTCCCCTCCTCGCGAGGCCTCAGGCAGGGAGACCCCCTGTCCCCGACTCTCTTTGTTTTGGCTGCAGATCTCTTATCTCGCGGCTTGGAGCGCCTATACAATCGGTACCCGGACCTGTACTATCGGTGTCGTGGTCGGTTCCGATTGACGCACCTAGCCTATGCGGATGATGTTCTCATCTTTGCCAATACCCGTGGTGATCGAATCAGCCTCTTGACGGATTTTCTGACGACGTATGCGCGAACTACTGGCCAGATGGTGAACTGTCAGAAAAGTCAGCTGGTATTTAGCCGCCGATGCCCGGAGAGGGTCCAGCGACAGCTTCAGTCCGTCACTGGTTTCGGCAGGGTTGGACTTCCCCTTACGTACCTCGGCGCCCCGCTCTATGTGGGCAATCGGCGTAATATCCTCTACGAAGACCTACTTGGGAAACTGCGGCGATATCTGCAGCGTTGGGACCGCTCCGTTCTCTCTCACGGAGGTCGCTTGCAACTGATCAGAAGCACGCTCTTCTCGCTTCCCCTTTACCTCCTACAGGTCCTTAACCCCCCCCAGGCTGTCCTACACTCAGTGGAGCAGCTCTGTGCTCGTTTCTTCTGGGGCTCCTATCATGGCCACCGTCGCCGCCATTGGATTTCCTGGATGGATGCGGCGAGGCCCCAGGACGAGGGCGGGCTTGGTATTCGCCGCCTGTCCGACATGGTTCGCGCCTTCTCGCTTAAATTGTGGTGGCGTCTCAGAGATGGTTCCTCTCTTTGGGCTCGCGCGCTCCAGCATAAATATTTCCGCAGCTCCTTCCCGGGTCTCGCCCCCTGCCGGAACTACGACAGCCCGGTCTGGAAACGTCTTTGCCAGATCCGCGATGAGGCACAGACGCAGATCACTTGGAACTTGGGGCGTGGGGACTGTTTCTTCTGGTATGATACTTGGTGCGGCGATCGCCCTCTCTGCACTGACCGCCGGGACCGCCCTCCGCCGATTCGGGTGAAAGAGATGTGGGTTAACGGGTCGTGGGATTTGACGCGCCTTCAGGCCTACCTTCCGGCATCCCTTGTTCAGCGGGTCTCTGCGATTCCTTTTGACCCCCTGATAGCGGATCAGCCGATATGGAAGGCTTCGGACACAGGTACTTTTACTACTACCTCAGCCTGGGAGATGAGCCGGACAGCCGGGGCTCGGAGTTGGCTTTCCTGCTGCCTCTGGTCGCCACTACTTACGCCTACGATGTCGGTATTCCTATGGCGTTTATTTCGCCGTCGGATACCTGTTGACGAGGCCCTTTGGAGGCTGGGTCTCCCTATTGTTTCTCGCTGCCAGTGCTGCAGTGAATCCGAGACTTTTGCACACTTATTCTTCTCGTCGGCGGTTGCCCAGCGCGTGTGGCGCCATCTTGCCGACCTATTCCGTATCCGAACCCCGCGGACACATGCGCCCCACCTGATGGTCTCTGCTTGGCGTCTGTCCTCCCCACATGCGCGGAGCATCCGTACCTATATCCCACTTCTGGCCTTCTGGTTTCTTTGGACGGCACGGAATGACGCCAAACACCGAGGTATCCAGATTTCCTCTGACAGGATTATTTGGCGTATTCACTCTCATTTGCAGGTGTTGGGCCGTGCTGGCCTCCTTCAGCGACAGCACTGGCCTGGGGAGGTGCACTTAGCCTCCACTCTCGGCCTTCGCCTCCCGCCTCCGGTTCTTCGGCCGCCGGTCATGGTGCGTTGGGAAGCCCCGTCTCCAGGCTGGTTCAAACTCAACACTGATGGGGCATCGCTCGGGAATCCAGGCGCCGCTGGAGCCGCGGGCGTCATTCGGGATGCCACCGGCGCCCCAATTGTGGCATTCCAAGTTCCCCTTTTGAATACGACGAACACTTTGGCCGAACTGCAGGCGATTCGATCTGGAGTGGACCTGGCGGTTGCCCGCGGCCTCCTCCCTCTCTGGATCGAGACGGACTCGGCCAGCAGTATCTCTCTCATCTCCTCCTCGACGGGACACTGGACTCTCCAGCCTTGTCTCCACCACCTGCGCCTACAGCTTCGCAGCATCGAGTGGAGGATCTCTCATATTTTCCGCGAGGGCAATAAAGTGGCGGACAACTTGGCGAACACCTCTGTTGCCCTTCCTCATATGCGGATCCTTGAGCCGGCGGACATCCCAGCGAGGACCCGTGGCCTCATCCATGCTGACGCGGCGGGCCTTCCGTGCTTTCGCTTCCGTTAGCTTTTATTTGCTTACACTCTTTATTTACATTTGCAGCACTTGTACCGAACTTTGCAGAACTACGTATGGCTTGATCCCGTTGGGGTACGTAGGCAGCTCTTTGAGCCCAGCCAAAAAAAAAAAAAAAAAAAAAAAAAAAAAAACCCTAAACCCTAAACCCTAAACCCTAAACCCTAAACCCTAAACCCTAAACCCTAAACCCTAAACCCTAAACCCTAAACCCTAAACCCTAAACCCTAAACCCTAAACCCTAAACCCAAAACCCTAAACCCTAAACCCTAAACCCTAAACCCTAAACCCTAAACCCTAAACCCTAAACCCTAAACCCTAAACCCTAAACCCTAAACCCTAAACCCTAATTACAGGATTCCCGATGAGAGTTCTCAAATGGACCCCCGATGAGAGTTCTCAAATGGACCCCCGATTTCAAAACTACCGAGGAACCTCCACATGTTCCGGTGTGGGTTACGCTCCCACTTCTTCCTCTCCACATGTATCACAGAGATCTTTTATTTACAGTTGCTGCTGGCATTGGGACCCCTCTGAAGGTTGATACCCCTACGGCGACTCGGAGTCGGTGCTCCCACGCCAGAGTCTGTGTGGAAATTGACCTTACGAAGCCCCTTCTGCATGCCTTCGAGATTGATGTGGGTACTGGTGTGCTCGAGCAGAAGGTCATCTACGAGCGGCTCCCTAGCTTCTGCTCACTCTGCCGCCATCTTGGGCACAAAGCGGAGGCTTGTTTACACAGACCTTCTTCGCAGCCGGTACCAGTTACCATCTCAGCTGCGCAGGATCCTCCTGCTGCGCCTTCTGGTCGCCATGACTCGGTGCATGGCCCTTATGAGATCTCTGCAGCCCCCGCCTCTGGTGATATCATGGAATCCCGGCCCCCCACTGCTCGACGCCGTCGTCGGCGCCGCAATCGAAATAGGGGTACGCCTTCTACTGGTATTACTAATGCTTCTGGCTCCTTGCAGGCTCCTCCTCAGCTCCTCCGACGGGACCCCCAGCCTTCTACCCGGAGACCTTCCGATGACATCCCGGAGTTGAATGGCTCCAGACGTCTTCGCTCTGGTGTGCGGGTGACCTTTGGGGAGATACAGGTGGCCCCAAATCCATCACAGACGCCCGAGAAGTCACTGCAGCTCACACCGGCGCATCTCAGCGGCCCTGCGGAGGCTCATCGCCCCCACGCCCCTCCTCGGGTGACCTTTGCCCACTCACGGGGGGATGCCTCCGCGATGCTGCTTACTTCTGGTGTTCGAGTTACCTTTGGGGACTTTCTGGCGCCTTCGGAAACCTCGCCGGCCCGCCCTCTGGCCGGACAGACTACAGCTGAGCCTCCGATTGACAGTCCTGCCTCCCCTCTGGATGACTGTCGGCTGAGTCCCACTCCAGCGACTCCTGCCACCGCCTCGGCCCTTGGTCTCCTTCCGCAGCCCCTATTGGCCACTCAGGTACCCTCGTCGCCTTTACCACTGCTTGCTGATGATATGCAGGTGCCGCCGGAGCCTGTGTCGCCTCCTCCTGCTCAATCCTTGGCAATTTGGGGACTCCCCTCTGGTCATGGCCTGGATAAGGGGAAGGCAGTGCTGCTCTCTGAACCTCCTGCATCCCCTATCCGCGATCGACGTGATCTTTCAGTGGACACATGCCTATCGGCTACTGGTTCCCCTTCCTCGGACACCCAGCGGGACGAGGACTCTGCACTACAAGCCACCTTCGCCGAGGACTCGGATGGTGACTCGCCCCTTATTAAGGATGGCCAACCGCCCCTCCTCGATTCACTATCTCTTTCTCCGAGAGGTACCACTGATTTTCACTCTGGTGATCTACCTGCTGATGCAATTACAGGGACAGAGCTCCTCCCTGAATCTGGTCCGAACCCACCCCTCCTGCGGACTTCATCGGAACCGCTCCCTGTTGTCGCTCTGTCGACGGAGTCGCATCCGAGCAGGGGGGTGTGCGTTTTAAACCAGGCCGCTGAACCTCCGTCTCTCAGCGGATCTTTGGAGACAGTGTCAGATGACCGGCCACAGGCTCTGCCGCCGGCCTTCTCTAGACCGATCACCCGCAGCATCTCCCGTCAGCAAGTAAGTGCCTCTCGTCGCCCTTCTGCCAGTTCCCGATGACAGACACCTCCCTCTTGGTTTGGAATGTGCGCGGAGTTGGCAACCCCCGAGCTCAACGAGAGGTACATTGGCTCTGCAAGCAGCACCGTATCCGCATTCTTATTCTTCTGGAGCCTATGGTTTTTGCGGATGTTGCTTTCTTTTGCCGGCGTTTTGGCTTCTCCCAGATGCTTACTAACGCGGTCAATTCTATCTGGATTCTTGCTGATGACTCCTATAAACTGGAGCCTATTTCGGAGATCGATCAGTGTCTTCATGTGCAGGTTTCGTCTCCGCAGCACCGCCGGCCCTTTTTCCTATCTGGGATCTATGCGCGATGTTCTGTCACCCAGCGCCGTGCCCTCTGGTCTTTCCTACAGGACACAGCGGCCTCGTCATTGGGGTCTCCTTGGCTTATCGGTGGCGACTTTAATGCCATCGCCGACATATCTGAACGGAAGGGCCCAGGTCGCCCTAAGTTGCGCTCTATTCAGGATTTCTCAGCGGCTATCCTTGATGCGAATCTTATCGATGCCGGTTTTGAAGGCTCCCCCCATACATGGACAAATCGACGAGTTTGGGAGCGCCTGGACCGCATTCTCTACAACACTGCCTGGGAGGATTTCGCTGAGACGACTCGTGTCAGACACCTCCCGCGGATGCATTCGGACCACGCCCCGCTCTTGGTCCGATTCTCGCATGAAAGACACCGCCTTGCCTCTGCATTCCGGTTTCAGAACATGTGGACCAGACACCACACTTTTCAGGACCACGTCCGCCAGAGTTGGGTTGTCCCGACGGGCACCACCGGTCTCCTCAACCTGCGACTGAAACTTGGACGACTCAAACAGGCTCTGAAGTGGTGGAACAAACAGGTATTTGGGAATGTTTTTCAGGTATTGGCAGCAGCAGAAAAAGACGCAGAGGAGTGTGAAGCGGAGTTCGATCGGGATCCCTCTGACGCCAACCTCCTCCGCCGTCAGCGTAGCGCTGCGGCTTTGACGCACGCGATTGCACTGGAAGAGGCTTACTGGAAACAGAAAGCAGCCTGTCGGTGGGCGGTCGAGGGAGAACGGAACTCCCGTATGTTCCATTCCATGGTGAAGGAACGACGCCGGCGGGCGACAATCTTCTCGATGGCTGACGGTGCTCGTACCCTCACTGATCACTCAGATATTAAGCAGTCAGCCATTTCCTATTTCTCTGGGATGTTGGGACAGCCTGATGATGCCGACACGTCGGAAATGGATGCCTTGGCAGACCCACCGCCCCAGGTTCCGCCGGCCGAGTGCACTCGGTTGCTTGAACCGCCTACACTTGCGGAGACTCGTGCTGTGGTCTTCTCGATTGATCAAGATAGTGCGGCTGGTCCCGATGGCTTCTCTGCCGCCTTCTACCAGAAATGTTGGGAGATCATCCGGGAGGATGTGTTTGATGCTGTACTGGATTTCTTTTCGGGAGCCCCCCTCCTGAAGTTTTATACAGCGACGACTCTTATACTTATCCCCAAGAAGGAGGGGCCACTTGCATGGGCTGATTATCGACCTATCAGCCTCTGTAATGTCAGCAGTAAGATCTTCACAAAGCTACTCACCACGCGCCTTAGCCCTCTACTGCCGCAGCTTCTATCGCCGCATCAGAGCGGCTTTGTCAAAGGCCGCGCGATTGCGGACAATATCCTGTTAGCGTCGGAGATGGTCCATGATCTTAATCTGAGAGGAGGCTCGCACAATTTATTGCTGAAATTGGACCTTAACAAGGCGTACGATCGGGTGTCATGGCGGTTCTTACGGCACGCCCTTTCCAGGTTCGGTTTCCCGGCTCACTTCATCACTTTGATTATGAACTGTGTTGAGCATGCGTGGTACTCGATCCTTGTGAATGGGGACCTGGGTGGCTTCTTCCCCTCCTCGCGAGGCCTTAGGCAGGGAGACCCCTTGTCCCCGACCCTTTTTGTCTTGGCTGCAGATCTCTTATCACGCGGCTTGGAGCGCCTCTACAGCCGTTTTCCGGATCTGTACTATCGGTGTCGTGGTCGGTTCCGGCTGACGCACCTTGCTTATGCGGATGATGTCCTCATATTCGCTAATACCTGTGGCAATCGCATCAGCCTTCTGACCGACTTTCTGACGACTTACGCACGGATTACTGGCCAGAAGGTGAACTGTCAGAAAAGCCAGCTTGTTTTCAGCCGCCAGTGCCCGGAGATTGTTCAACGACAGCTCCAATCGGTGACTGGTTTTGGCGCAGCTGAACTCCCTCTTACATATCTTGGCGCGCCCCTCTATGTGGGCAATCGGCGCAATATTCTTTATGAGGAACTCCTTGGAAAACTCCGTCGTTATCTGCAGCGCTGGGATCGCTCGGTTCTATCTCACGGGGGTCGATTACAGTTAATCAGGAGCACTTTGTTCTCGCTCCCCCTATATCTGCTGCAGGTACTTTGCCCCCCCCAGGCGGTACTTCACTCTGTGGAGCAACTTTTTGCTCGTTTTTTCTGGGGTTCTTATCACGGGCACCGCCGCCGCCATTGGATCTCCTGGGCGGATATTGCACGGCCACAGGAGGAGGGTGGGCTTGGCATTCGTCGCCTGGCCGATACGGTTCGGGCCTTCTCGTTTAAACTGTGGTGGCGACTCAGAGATGGCTCCTCCCTTTGGGCTCGCGCGCTTCAACAGAAATATTTTCGGAATTCCTTTCCAGGACTTGCACCCTGCAGGAGCTACGACAGCCCGGTTTGGAAGCGTCTCTGCCAGGTTCGAGATGAGGCACAGACTCAGATCACTTGGAATTTGGGGCGCGGGGACTGCTTCTTCTGGTATGATATTTGGTGTGGAGATCGTCCGCTATGCGCTGACCGCCAGGACCGCCCTCCGCCGATACGGGTGAAAGAGATGTGGGCTAACGGGACGTGGGACATGCCGCGCCTCCGAGCTTACCTCCCTGAAACCCTTGTTCAGCAGGTCTCGGTGATTCCTCCTGATCCCCAGACTGCGGATCAGCCGATCTGGAAGGCCTCGACCACAGGTACTTTCTCTACAACCTCAGCATGGGAGATGAGCCGAACAGCTGGAGCACGGAGCTGGCTCTCTTGCAGCTTGTGGTCGCCGCTTCTTACTCCTACAATGTCGGTATTCCTATGGCGTTTATTTCGCCGTCGGATACCCGTCGATGAGGCCTTACGGAAGATGGGCCTCCCTATTGTCTCTTGCTGCCAGTGCTGTCGGGAGTCTGAGACGATCGAGCACTTATTCTTCTCGTCGGCGGTTGCCCAGCGCGTGTGGCGCCATCTTGCTGATCTATTTCATATCCAAATCCCGCGGACACATGCGCCCCACCTGATGGTTTCCGCTTGGCGTCTGTCCTCCCCACATGCGCGGAGTATCCGTACTTATATACCGCTCCTGGCCTTCTGGTTTCTTTGGACGGCACGGAATGACGCCAAACACCGAGGTATCCAGATTTCATCTGACCGGATTATTTGGCGTATTCACTGTCATTTGCAGGTCTTAGGCCGTGCTGGCCTCCTTCAGCGTCAGCACTGGCCTGGGGAGGTGCACCTAGCCTCTAGTCTCGGTCTTCGCCTCCCACCTCCGGTTCTTCGGCCGCCGGTCATGGTACGCTGGGAAGCCCCGTCTCCAGGCTGGTTCAAACTCAACACTGATGGGGCATCGCTCGGGAATCCAGGCGCCGCTGGAGCCGCGGGCGTCATTCGGGATGCCACCGGCGCCCCATTGTGGCATTCCAAGTTCCCCTTTGAATACGACGAACACTTTGGCCGAACTGCAGGCGATTCGATCTGGAGTGGACCTGGCGGTTGCCCGCGGCCTCCTCCCTCTCTGGATCGAGACGGACTCGGCCAGCAGTATCTCTCTCATCTCCTCCTCGACGGGACACTGGACTCTCCAGCCTTGTCTCCACCACCTGCGCCTACAGCTTCGCAGCATCGAGTGGAGGATCTCTCATATTTTCCGCGAGGGCAATAAAGCGGCGGACAACTTGGCGAACACCTCTGTTGCCCTTCCTCATATGCGGATCCTTGAGCCGGCGGACATCCCAGCGAGGACCCGTGGCCTCATCCATGCTGACGCGGCGGGCCTCCCGTGCTTTCGCTTCCGTTAGCTTTTAGTTGCTTACAATCTTTATTTACATTTACAGCACTTGTACCGAACTTTGCAGAACTACGTATGGCTTGATCCCGTTGGGGTACGTAGGCAGCTCTTTGAGCCCAGCCAAAAAAAAAAAAAAAAAAAAAAAAAAAAAAAACCCTAAACCCTAACCCTAAACCCTAAACCCTAACCCTAAACCTAAACCCCTAACCCTAAACCCTAAACCCTAAACCCTAAACCCTAAACCCTAACCCTAAAACCCTAAACCCTAAACCCCTAAACCCTAAACCCTAAACCCTAACCCTAAACCCTAAACCCTAAACCCTAACCCTAAACCCTAACCCCAAACCCAAACCCTAAACCCAAACCCCAAACCCTAAAAAAACCCCAAACCCTAAAAAACCCTAACCCCAAACCCACCCCAAACCCTAAACCCCAAACCCTAAACCCTAACCCCCAAACCCCAACCCAAACCCCAACCCCAACCCTAAACCCTAAACCCTAACCCTAAACCTAAACCCTAACCCCTAAACCCTAAACCCTAAACCCTAACCCTAAACCCTAAACCCTAAACCCTAAACCCTAAACCCTAACCCCTAAACCCTAACCAAAAACCAAAAACCGCCTCTCCACCACCATCGTCTTCCTCACCCCTGAAAACCCCCGTCATCCTTACTCGCACCACCGTTCTCCCCCAGCACCGGCGCCGGCGTTCGAGCCCGATATAGAGCCGCTGTATCGCCGTCGACCTGGAACCTACTGTTCCGGTCGATCTCCAGCCATACCCTCGCCGTCGTTGTCTTCATCATCCTCCAACGACCTAGACTGCTCCTTGCCGTGGCCGGATTCGTTCACCGTAAAGTGACGTCATCGTCGGTTTTACTTACTTACGCACTGAGATCGTCTACCACA